TACACGGTGTCTGAATTGAAGCTTGCTCTTAGTCCGTACGATGATAAGCGGTACGTCGTACCCGAATCGGTCACTACTTTATCTTGGGGACATTATAAAATACCTCTGTAATGTGTTGTATTTTTTTATTGTAATAAAATAAAAAGTTACAATACATCCGTTTTATCTATCCAAGAATTATGTGAATTGTCCATTCCTAACCATTTTACATACACTTTATTTCCTCGTTTGCGTAGTATTTTTTCCACGAGGTAAACGTCAGGATTGGAGACTCGCTGTAATTCATGTTCGTAGAATCCACCAGCTATCGGCTTCCCTTGATAATCTTTCAGTAGATACGTTGCAGGATTCGTACGTTGTGTTTTAACGATGTAGAAAATCTCAGTGGACCAATTAGGTGTATAACCCTTTTCAAAAATTGTCTTGAATTTACTAATTCGTACTGGATCGCCTATTTTGAACCTCGTTGGAGCGACAATTTTGACATGACTGTATACCGTCGACAAGAGTCGTTTTGCAACGGTGGATGTTACGTGTATCGGTCGCATCCCAATGGTTCGATGTTTACGATGATTATAATCTGACAATAGACGCGGTAGCTCGTCGATCCATTTGTACGAACCGTTTAACGTGAACGTTTTCCACATGTTATTCTTAAGTGTACGGTTGAATCGTTCCACCACCGACGCTTTCATCACTGAATACGTAGAATAATGATTTATGTTGTATCTCTTAACAATGTTTTTCTGCATTGTAGCGGTAGCGTTGTAAAATTCTTTTCCTTGATCCGTTTGCAGGTTTTGTGGGTATCGTTCGTCCTCACGAAATATTGTAGATAACGTTGCAGCCACATCGTTTCCGTTCTTGCTCTTGAGTGGTATAGCCCATGCGTATTTACTCAAAACATCGATAACTGTTAAAATGTAATTGTAACCTTTGTTGAATCGCGCGTAAGGACGCATCTCGACCACGTCGGCTTGCCATAAATCATCGCGACCGTGCACCACGACGCGACGACGTGGAAAATTTCTTCGCGCGGGTGCGTGGAGTTCTTTCACGAGTTTTCGTTTCTCGATACTCATCTCCCTCTGTTATAATAGGAAACGAGCTTTGCACGTATCTTTTAAACCTTTCTAGATGCGTTTAAATACCTAGACACCTCGTTCAGATGTTGAATCTCGTTCTCGTTACACACATTCGTCGATATTGTTTACGCAGATCACTTACACCGTGATGCAACATCTTAATATCATCAAATATGTTTTGAAACGCCTGCGTGAACGTATTTTTCCCTATCGTTTTAAACGATTCCTCCAATGTCTCTTTCGTCACCATATTAAGCATTTGTTGATGCAAATCAGTTACACCTCGATGAATCTCGTTGGACACTTTCATCAATAATGCATTTACACTATTTGAGAATTCTTCCACGTTGTTTTGCACTTTTTCCACATCGTCCGAGATATCTTTCTGCGTATCCCGAAGCGCGCGTACGATCATATCTCTCCCGGTTGTTTTGAACGATTTCTCCAATATCTCGTTAGTCACTACATTTTTCATTCGTGCAGTTACATCTCAGATGTGTGACAGCGTCGGATACTTTTTTTTCCATATCACTACACACTTTTAAACTATCTTTCTGCATATCCTGAAGCGCGCGTACGATTATATCTCTCCCCGTCGTTTTAAGGAGTTACACCACAGTAGAAATTTCAAAAAATCGATTTTTTTTTATTGGCTTAAAAAATCCTTTGAACTCTCTAGAATAAGAGACAAACGGTTTTATATCTGCCAGAAATCGTTTTCATTGAAATTTCGAGCTCTTTCTCGACCCCTCCCGACTGCTCCGAAACGACTACCTGCGGTAAATACGATACCTGCTTGTCGGGTACAGCATTATGTCTTACCATTCGATTTCTAACTTCTCTAATACACTAATAGATATCGTTAGAAACATTTTCAAGCATTTTGAACACAAAGTACGTTGGTACAGCGTCCTTTGATGTTGAGAGAAGACGTAAATTTTGCGAGGAAGTTATTGGAAATCACGATTTTCTTTTGCAGTGCTAATTTTTCACACGTTATTTGTAGCCTTGCCATTTATGTGAGTTACAATGAGTGACAAGAAAGTGTATGCAAGCCATAAAGACTCAAAAATATCGTATCAGACGCGGCGACGGAGCAACATGACGAAACGACGACCGTTGAACAGATATGAAGCGGAGGAAGATTCGGCCGGTGTCAGTGCTTCGGCAAAGAAATTGAAAGTGGATACTGACGATATCGATATACAAAGTGAATTTGGTTACCGAATTATAAACTTTTTTGCCGTTTTTTCTGCCATTTCGGAATATGTAAAGTGCAAAACGTGCAACTCTGATATACGATTTCTCGAATCAGGTACGCGGGGTTTAGGCTTCAAAATAATCGTCTGTTGCCCGAATTGTCCAAAAGTTGAAATCCCGAGTTGTCCATTCATACGAAATGGATATGAAATTAACCGTAGGATTGTACTAACAATACAACGCGAATACAACGCGCGGAGCGCTCTTTGACGGACGCAGCAAAAGAGGCTCGCTCTGGCATAAAAGCGTCCAGGAAAGAAAAGGAGGAGGAGTTTAGCAACCTGGAAGGTCAGCTTTACGGTGCTGGAATAGCAGATTAAAGGTAAACAATTTTTAATAATCAAATTTTTTATTTTATCATGTTCGAAACACGAGTCAAAACTTTAAACGCGTTTTTCTCGAAACACGTTTTTTCAAATCGGCACGCAGCATAACTCAAACAATTTTCTATTTTTTCACTCCAAATTAATATCACATCTTTAAAACAACATTCCGCATAGAAATACGTAGCCGATTTTCGATAAGTTAATATTTCGAATTTTTAGGTACAAATAAGTGCCCGTTTTTTTGGTAGTAAAATGAAATTTTTTTTCAAATGCTCGCCAATTTAACAAAAATGAATATTTTCAAAATTCCCTACGTATTTCTATAGCTATACTAATGTAATTTAAGAAAAAATTTTTTATTTTGTTCCAGATTAATTTTTGCTGCACTTCTACTGCGTGCCGCGGAGCCCCTCCAAAAAAAACCGTTCCGCAGAAACGGCTGTTGGGCAGCCATTTTGTAATAATTTTTAATAAACAAAATTTTTTTTTAAACTTCAAAATATACTTAACAACATCCTTAAAAAGAATTACCATTTTACTTTTCCTTCACTTAAAAAAAAATCGCAAAGAAACGTTAAATTTTCGCTCTCTACTGTGATGTAACCCCTTAAACGATTTCTCTAAAGTCTCCTTCGTCACCGTATTATTCATTTGTTGACGTAGATCAGTTACACCTCGTTGAATTTCATTAGTCTCCAACATTTCTTTCGTCGCTATATTATGCAATTGTTGACGCAGAATCAGTTACACCACGCTGAATCATCTCTTTCGTCACCATATTAAGCATTTGTTGATGTAGATCAGTTACATCCCGTTGAATCTCGTTGGACACTTTCATCGATAGCGCGCTCACACTTTTCGAGACCTCCACGTTGTTTCGCACTTTTTCCACATCGTTCGAGATATCTTTCTGCGTATCCCGAAGCGCGCGTACGATCATATCTCTCCCTATCGTTTCGAACGATTTCTTCAATGTCGCGTTAGTCACTACATTTTTCATCATTCGTACAGTTACATCTCGAGTCAAACGTTGAATCTCTTCCACGTTTCTTCGCACCTTTCCCATATCGCTCCTTATCGCTCCACATGATTCCTCGATCTCGTTTCGCGTATCTCGAAGCGTGCGTTCAACGTAGCTTTTGTTTACCGCATCTGTGTCGAACTCCGGCGCGGCCACGTGTTCTATTTTTCGTTTCTTCGCATCGTAATGATCTGGATTCAAACAGAGTCCATTGTTGTATACATAATTTCGTAAAGTTTCCATCGACGATCGCGACTTTTCGATTTCGTCTCTCCTCATAGGCATACCAAATTTATTTACAGACATCGTATCAAGTTCGCGCGAAACTGTAACGGTTTTCATCAAAACTATTCACTTTATAATTAAACTCAGTTTCGCGCAGTTCTTCTTTCCATTTCGCGACACAATTGTAAAATTGCCCACTGTCGTGTACGTAATTCCGTAACGATTTTATTAACGATCGTGATTTTTCAATTTCATCGCTATCGTCTCTCCTCAGAGGCATACCAAATTTATTCACAGACATCGTATCGAGTTCGCGCGAAAACTGTCACAATTTTTATTACAACAATTCAGTTTATAATTAATCCAGCTTCACGAAGTTCTTCGATTATCGACAAAATTTCATTGTCGTGAGCGTTATTACCCGCTCGACGAGAAGCATCGAGCAATTGAAGACGATCTACCAATTCGTTGGGATCGTCCCAATGGACGTAATCTATTTCATTGTCAGTCAATCTCGCAGATGATATATTTGTCTTTATACCTGAACCATTACTCGTGCCACTGACACTCCTTGTAACTAAGAGCGGAGCAATAATGTTTTTGTATTTGTGTCCCTTGTTACTCTTAATCGGCATCCTAGCGTTATTGTCACGTCTGTGAGCATTCGTCGTCAATAATATATGTTTGTACATTTGTTTATCATTCTCGGTGTAGATAGCGTCGTTTGGAATCTTCTTGAAGATCAGCTTGTATAGACCCGGTGTACCTTTGTATCTCTCTCCATCTATGATTATAGTGTCGTCCGTATCCACGTCAAATTTTTTATTACCCAACATCGTGCCGTTTTCATCGAAATAAACACCGTAGACAAGATCGATTTCATTTCTCGCGTTACCAATTAAAAGAGTATTCACATATACTTGTCCTAACGGCCATAATTTATTTTGCAGTCTCTGACGACCTTGAGGGGTGTTCAACGCCTGTCTGGCAGACGTTTCAAGCGATGGATTATCACCGGTTTCAAAAACTTCTTCGTCCTGCGAGTCTAAAGGAGTTACTTGTTGTTGTTGTGATTCTATTGGTGTGGAATGAATTATGGATGAATCAGGCATAATGTTTGATCGTTTCTTATTTATTCGTTCGTTCCATGGAAGACGCTGAGGAGTAATTTGTGTTGGAATTGCATCATTATCATCGTCGTCGCCGTTGTTATCATCTTCCTCATCATCTCTGTACTCACGTTTATTCTTTCGTTTACCCTTCATAAATTTAGTTTCAACAGGTTTACCTTCACGTGCAGTGTTTCCAACGATTTGTTTCAACGGTTCGATAATAGCCCATGTACGATTTTAAACCTGGGCCAACAGCGGGCCAACGTCGGCTACCAACTTCCGACTGTCGGCCCAGTACTGGCTGTAACGTCGCGTCGACGTCGGCATAATATCCAAATGATAAGATCGGCCCAACATTAAATGCT